GCCTTAAAAAAAAAAAAAAAAAAAAGTGGGGTGTGTGTGGAAAAAAATAAAATAAAAAGTTTGTGTGGCCTTCTACACCCCCGCAGGGCCCTGGCAGAGGAGAAGCGGGGGGAAAAAAAACACTCTCTCTCTCTCTCTCTTTGCAACAATTTTGTGTGTGTGTGTGTGTGTGTGAGACGGACCCTGTTAAGGTTGGTGCTTTATTGCACCACGAAATAACCTACAAAAACAAATAAAATTGAAATAACCTACAACATAACAAACGAAAATGCTTATTTTGGCTGGTTGCATTTTGTTTTTCGTTTTTAATTAAAAAAAAAATATATTCGTGAAAAAAAATAATTTGAAAAAAAAAGGGGGGTTACCCTCCGATGACCCCCACCCTTCTATAAAAACAAAACAACCCCCCCCAGCAAAAAAAAAAAAAAAAAACGATCCCGCTCTCCGTGAACTCCATGAACTCCCATATCGTGAACTCCGTGAAGTCCATGACCGGTTTCTGTCCACAGACCCCGTGAACGGTGAACAGGGGTACGACACTGCTTCCTATAGTAGCTAGCTAGTCCTAGGAAAAATCTTAGTTCAGTTATAGTCTTAGGTTGTGGTCAATCTCTAATTGTTGTAATCTTATTTTCTTCAGGCCTTAATCCTTCTTCGTTCACTATATGCCCTAATTACAAGACTTCAGGCTTAGCAAAGTCAGACTTCTTCGGATTCAGTTTGAAGTTGTCCTCGCGCAACTTCTGCAAAACCATTCGTAGGTGTTTCTCGTGATCTTCCAGTGTCTTATTGTACACTAGAATATCATCGAGGTAGACTACTACGAATTGATCAAGCCATTGTCGGAACAACTCGTTCATTGACCTTTGGAAGGTCACAGACTCACAGGTGCATTGGTCAAACCGAAAGGCATAACCACGAACTCGTAGTGACCATACCTGGTTCGGAATGTCGTCTTGTGTTGATCTTCAGGAGCCACCTCAATCTGGTGGTACCCTGACTTAGGATCAATCTTGCTAAAGTAACTGCATCCCTACAACTGATCCAATAGATCGTCAATGCGCGGAAGAGGCTCCGTGTTTTTGACAGGACGGAGTTCAACCCACGATAATCTATGCATAGACGAAGTTCACCTTCCTTTTTGGACACGAATAAGGCAGACGCACCATAAGGAGATGAGCTAGGGCGAATCCATCCTTTCTCAGTAAGTTCTTGCAGATGCTTACGAAGTTCCTCAAGTTCCCTGGGAGGCATTCGGTAGATGGGACCCTTGGGAATCTTGCTTCTGGAAATGATCTCAATCGTGTGCTTAATAGCACGCTCAGTAATTCCCGGCTGCTTAGTCTGCAATTATGTCTACTCATCGATGAGTTTTCCGATAGAAGGTGGATAGGATGAGGAACACTCACCGACTCGCTTGACAAGCATCATCACCACCTCCTGATCCAACTTCTTCTTTACTACCATCTATCAGAAAGTTGGGTAACTCATACAGCAGAAAAGCGGTGCCAACCCCGTGAACATGACTGGCACCGGTGATCGGCCGGTCACGGGACCTGAAATCCGTGAACGGCCGTTCACGGGGGCCGTTCACGTGTTTTCTGCCCAAGTGGACGGGGGTACAGTCGGGATGAGGGTGCGGGGCCCTTCTGCACCCCCGTACCTTCAAATCATTGAAAAAAAAAAAATAAAAAAAAATCCAGAAAGGGGTGTTTCG